TTCTCCAGCCGCTAACAATTCTACTGCTATCCTTGACTTAGACTTACAGAGCATCACAGTGCTCTGTTCATTTCCTATTCCTCACAGTATAGATGGCATTATAGTAATACTTTACTTTTCATCTTATATTGGCTATTGTTCAGTCTTTTCTTATTGCTTCCACTATAAGAAATCTGTTGCCCAATCTTTTACTTCCTTTTCATTATTAATTTGACCTTTCTGAATCCTTACTTTTTCCAGTTCCAAGACAACTCAAAACCAATATGATTTTGTGATGCAAGCAGCACATGGTCACTATCCTGCCTTCATTTCTTGGGAACAAATCAATGTTTTTGTACATCACAGCTTTCCATACTAATGTCTTCTTACACTGAGCTACTAAAAATGTCTTGTGAGTGCAGAAGGATGTTAAGTTGTCTAGCCCACAGCTGCACTTCATGACATTAAACACATTTTCATATATATTCTTGAAAAGAAAGGACAGGAATGAGATTTCTCATTCTACTCATTATGTCTTTATAATAGTTTGCTTTTTGTATAGGTTTCTGATATTAAATGGCAGAAAAAGCAGAAACTGGAACAGTTTGTAACATTATGCAGCCAGTTTAATTTTATACTGAATAGTTAACACTGAAGAGTTCTTCCAACAGCCATTAAGAGGTGATCCAATCCTGCTATCCACACAGACTCAGTTCCAAATGCAGGTGTCCAGTTCCTCTTGAGGTCTCTCAGGTGAAATGGAAAAATCCCACAGAAGGACCTGTGGAAGACTTGTGCCCATCTGGAGCTGGGGACTATCAAATGGCTCTATATTCATCTAATGGGAAACTCAATTGAGCCTTCAGTGTCTGCAGAGATGTGGAAGTAATGCTAGTTTCCTCTAGTTGTAGAGTGCAGAGATAACCTTATTTCATAAGTGATGTGATCGATGTGTAAAGACAGGCTGTTTTTCTCCATCCTAATTGTTTTAGCACTGATTGCAATACATGTGATCTGCTTTCAGTAGCAAGTCTTAGATTGCTCTAAACAAGTTAATTATATTTCACAACACCTTTGTGCAGTAGACAAATATTAATATTTCCATTTCGCAGTCAGAGAAGAAAGGAGGAAAAGAAAGGGTAAGTGACTTACTGAAAATTAAACAATAACTCAGTGGCAGAACCAGAAAAACTCCAGACTTTCAATCACAGCTTGAATCCCCCACAGACCACTAACACAAAATGTAAGGATGGTAATAATAGCATGATTTTAGGGTTTCAAACTGAGAGAGCTACCTTTGTTTGCAAAAAGACACTGAGCTTGTACCAAAACTCCAGTGTTCCAAAAGGTCAACGCTGAGATAAACATCTTTGAAAAACAACAGCACAAAAACAAAAACCTGGAGCCATAAATGATGGATCAAGATTGAACTCAATTTTCTGCCTACTACCATCATCACCTTGGAAAAAACATTCAACCATCACTCTGCAAGACATTCACGCTTGGAGATAATTTCTGAGCATATTGGAAAGGGTCACATCTATCCTCTTCTAGGAAGAAGCAGTATTTTAAGCTGATAATTAGAAGGAAAAAAATGATATTCCTGTAATATCCAGATGTTTCAGTCAGAATGAGGGATGCTTAAAAATATATATGGAAAGACTTTGTAAGCCAACTTAAATATGGACAACAAGACTGTGTAATGAACAGCAAGATGAGGGTGGGAGATGAAGGAGGAGAAGAACAATTACAAGAGTTAGAGTCTCTGTATGCTGCTCTAAATGCAATCTTACATTTCAAAATGTTTAGATGTTAAATGTTTTAAATTTGTGTGACATATGAAACTAAAAATCTGATCTGCTAATTACTGTGAGGATTGTATTGTCTAAATTGCACCAAACAAGAGAAGCAAAAATCAATGACAGGCAAATTAAATGCCCTTTGATAGTATAAAACCAAGCTGATTCTACAGGTAAGACAAATAGCAGGACTTTTTTTCTTTTCTTTTTTTTCCCACCTCAAATGTGAGGATACATACTATGAGATCCTGTATCCCTACTGAGTGTCCAGCTCTGTGAAAAAATGCATTTCTTCTGCAAGAGCCTATTTGGGATTATGCTCTTCTGTTAACTAGCTCACTCAATGTGTATGAACACCATGTACATTCTGTTGTGAGATTCTAGGACAATGTTCATATTGGAATTTTGCAATGACATTTGATAATGAATGGAGTTATATAGTGCCTAGGGTAGAAGGGAACTTCCTTAAGGGAACCTGAACCTTAGATACTCCCAGGTTCATGAAATAATTTGTTTATCTAGAAAATACACTCATCAGTTAGAGGGACTGCAGAAGTAATTTCCGTAGCCATGACAAGTGAAGTTGCTACACAATAGGATAAAAGTATATACAGTTCAATCACCACCATGCCTTATTTATTCCAGTCTAACAGTCCAGAAGTCAGTCCAATTAGCTGTCTGTAACACATGAGCTCTTATGTTAAGTCCATTCCTTTAAACTTGTTCCATCCACAGAGTATTTCTATGATATATTAATCTTCACTGATGTGAAGTGAGAATAACAGGTTTATGTGAGATGAAGTCTACCAGCAAACTCTATTTATCTAAATACATAAAGTGCAGTCACCATTAAAGAGTTTGAGCATTAATTCCTTTCAGTGTATATCATCCTGACCTGGAATAAAAAAACAGCACTATTATCAGTCTCAAGCCAATCATATCTCCACAACAAGGGCTGTGGGCTTTAGAAATGTTTCTGAAATAGATAGATAGATAGATAGACAATCCAGCAAATTTTTCCTCAAGTGAACTGACCTAAACATCTTTGAGATGCCATAGCTCTCACTTTCATCTTCAGAATGTTAGCTTGCTTGCCAGAAACATTGGTTGAAATATTTCAAGTAGCGTTAGCACAAGTCAGCACAATTTATGCTAGACAGAAACGTGGAAACTGCATGTTCTCTGTCTGACTAGAACAGAGCACTATCACACAAAACACACTGCAATGAGCCTACTACTGGAGTGTGAACATTCACTGGACACAAATTCTGCTTTTAATACTAAGTACTCTTTGTATCCTTTCACTGACAGATTTTTAAATGTTGATCTAAGAAAGTAGTATCCAAAACATAACATCCTTCTAACCTTGTACCCGCAGAGAAGAGACTACATATGTAACATCAAACTACTCCTGTATTGATTGGACCCTAGACAATTTTTCCTTATCAATTTGTGTTTTTCTATTCGACTGATTTTTATCTATTTCCCGAGTCCCACAGAGAATTAGAAATTAACATTTCTTGTTTCCTTCCTGGCTATGCATTAACGACCTTGCTGCTTGCCTAATGAAGTCTTATACACTGAAGGAAAATAACAGGTAGGATTCTGCAGTCCTTACCAGCCTGACAGAGGGGGAACCTGCTGGGTTTGAGGTCCTTAACCTGTTAGAATACTGTGTGGTTCTGGACACATTAGTAAATTGTGACCAACCACCTGTTGGATCCATATGCTATAAAGCTGTTTGCCAAGCAGGGGGACTGCACACAGAATACCAGCAGTACATCTCCTTGTGTGCACTGTCAACGGATGGGAGGGAAGGGCTTCTTGCAGTAAAAGGCATTTTACAATGCATACAATGGAGTAAAATTAAGCTACAGAAAACACATTCAAAAAGGCACCTGGGAAGAGCAAGTTTTCACTACATCTGATTTTGACCACAGAATAGGGAATATGCTCCTATGGAAATAAGCACATGTGTTAGTGTTACTGCTGGCTGTGAATCTGAGGGTGGAGGAGGCTGATGTGTTGACTTCAGCTTTCACCTAATTAAAGATGTAGTAAGGCTTAAACTAAAGCTTAATTGTGTATCCTATGCAAACAGCACACCAGATCTGCTCGGCAGAAAGATGTCTATTCTGCTATATTTCTTCTACACCAAGAGAAAATGTTTCTAATGGTTCTTTTTTAGACATTAGGACACAGAGAGTGACAGACAAATTGACCACTAAAACCAGACCTGCAGAATAAAGCTGAATACATAAAATCCATGCTATCACTTCATACTTCCTGCAAGCACTGCTACACAGCAACTAGCTGCCAGCAGCTCTACTGCAAACCTCAGCATATGGCTCCAAGTTGCTTTGCTCCTGTATCAATGCACAGAAATATGACACACCAATATATACATTGCCAGTAGGATTTTTTCAGTTATTTCTTCTGTATGATGCACATGAACTTCTTCCCGTGCCCAGGCAAAAAAAAAAAAAAAAAAAAAAGGTTTATTTTAAAACACAACTTAGATCATTTTTTTGAAAACCACTGCACTGGCGTAAATCTCCTGCCACCATCACACAAACACTCCCCAAGACAGACTCCAAGGCTAAGTACAGAGTTAATCAAACTATCCGCTTGGGCTGAGCAATTGTTTATAAGACAGTGTAAAAAGTCAAAAGGTCCCTTTGGGCTCCATTATTTAATGTGTGTTTTTATACTGTCCACATTATGGGCTATATTGCAGCAGCATTTTGCTCAAGTTGCTTGCCAGCATTTACCATAGAGGAGCCCTTAGCAAGCTGTCACATCTGTGTCCACTCCTGTACCACCCATTTAGCAGAGACAATGATGACCAGAAACAACAAAGGAGTGACAGATAAAACAAACAATGCTCTGAGCCAGAGATCACAGCCATCCCAGGCAAGTTTGCCATGGAAATATTCAAGAAAAAGGAGGGAAGGAAAGGGAGACATCAAATACAGGACTAAAAAACTTACACCCAGATGAGGTTTTAACCACGTACCCACACAACCCCACATCTTCGGAGCAATTTCTAACGCCCTGGTAGGGCTGAGCAAGGAAGAACGAACAGAGCACATGGGAGGCAGACAAGCATCCAGCGTCTCCTCCCATTTGGAGTCAAATAGTCTCCTGCGAGTCACGAGACAGAAGGAATAATACTAATAATTGTTATTATTGTAATAATGATAGTAATAGAGATTCACCAACCTTGAGGATCCCAGTTCACCTGTTTTCTTGGAGTCTCGATTGGAAATTTCATCGCTTCCTTTTTACACAGGGAGAAAAAAGAATTAAATAAATTTCCCGACCTTCCTGTCTCAATGCTGCAGTCAAACAAATTAATTTCAAATTATAGGGAGTCTGCGCTGTTTGACTGAGGGAAACTGGTGGTTGCCAAGGCAAGCGATACACAAATAAATCAAAGAAAGTGGGGAGGGGTGGGGAGGGGCGGGAAAGGGAGCAGGGCGGTGGGGTTTGCAGAGGGAGGTGAGGAGGGGTGCGGACACCCCAGCAGAAAGCGGGAGTGGAGATAAGGTAAGGGCCGCAGGGGCCGGGGCTGGGCAGCGTGTGCTGCTGAGTCTTGGGCTCGCCTCGCGGATGCTGGGGCGGCACAGTCCCCGCTGCAGCCCACCTAAGGGGCTCGGGGCTGGGCAGCCCTCAGGAAGCGAGCCAAGCCCACCCCCAGGGACACCTCCCACACGTACACACCCCAAAGCTGAGCCCACGTCAGCTCGGCCGCAGCACTAGGAGAGTAACAGGTCAGCCAGCGGGGGCGAGCCGCAGCGGCATGGCTGGGGGAAGGCTGGGCACCCTTGGCTGGGGGTAGCAGCAGCCTGGCTAGCTGAGGAGAGCCGAAGCAGGAAGGATGATAGGAGGAGGAGGAGGAAGCCACCCTATAGCTTTGAAGGGAATTCACCGAGTCCCTCTCCTCACTGCCTTAAAAAGGGAGTGGGAAGAGGCTGCGAATCCCTTTGTGAGGAGGCGGCGGCGGCGCCGCGTGCCCCGGGAGGGGAGGGGAGGCGAGGCGAGGCTTCCTGCGATACTTACTGGGTCCTCGGCCCCGCAGGAGGATGCAGGCTGCTTTGGCAGAATTGGCAGCCGCAGCCACGCTCGGCTAGCTATTAGCAGCAGCACATGGCAGCAGCACGGTGGCAGCCAGAGACTCCGCAGCACCGGGGGAGGGGAAGGGCAGGGATGCTCAAAGCCGGCAGCCCAGCCTAAAAAGAGCACCTCGACCAACCAGGGTCTCCCTGTGCCCTGCCTGCTCCACTGGGGGGACACGGATAGACACCTGGCGTTCAGGCAGGGCTGAAAGATGTGGTCAGGGGTGGGGGTAGGAGGGCTGGAAGGAGGCTCAGGGGTATCAGTGACCTTCCAAGCCCCCAGGTGCTTTGGAAAAAGTGGAGGACGCTGGGGTGTCCCTTGTGCCTTTATCAGACATTTACTCCTTGCGCAATCTGCAGTTATCCTCTTCTCCCTCCTGCTCCTGTTTTCCTCAAATACAAATTAGGCTGCTGACAGTTTACACCAGAAGTGCTTTCAGTTCGAGTTACAATGTATGCCTCAGCTTCCCTCCTTTAGCCAGGAAAACAAAACCCCAGCCCATCTGCAGGGCTGAAGGAAGAGTGTGAAAGGTTAACCCTGTCCTGCCTCCGGTTTTTCAAACTGTGAAAAGCACATAAATCACTGGGAATGGTTTGGTGGGAGATATCCACATGTTTACATGGGTCATGTGTCAGAGACTCACATTAGAATCAGACTGAGGTTTATAGCCAAAAAAGCCTTCTGAATTTCCAGGAATCAAATTCAGATTATAAACTTGCTCCTTAAGACAACTTCTTTTCCTGCACTTTTTGCCCTAAACTTCTTTTCACCCAATTGCACTGTCTTGTTTTCCTATCTGTTGCTCAGATGTTAGTTAAACCTGTATGAAAAAAAGAGAGAAATCTTATCCAGGTGAAAAATTAGGCTGTCTGAAGCGTGTGGTTCTCCTTGGGAAACTCTCATTGTGAAGATTTGCATGCTCTTTACACTTCCAGATTCAGAAGGTAAATAACACACACTCCTGCACACACGCTCTTTGTTCAACCTTACCCAGGAAGAGAAAACCAGTATTTGTGAATCCATCACCTTAATTTGGCAGTGGCATGAAAGTCCTTTAAAGCAGTATGTACTTCGGAGGTACTATATGAAATAGTAGTGCAAGTTTTCCTTGGGGGGAGGTGCTGGGTGTCTTTTCTTAATCTGAGCACCCCCGTGGCTCTTGTTTTGTTCTGTACAGGAGGAGGCGGGAGAGGCTGCTTCAAGGGAGAACACGGTAAGAATTATAATGAGCCTGCTCAGTCAGATTTGAATTTGAGATGATTGCAATAACACCAGAAGAACAAGGTATTTCCTTTGTAAGTATCCTACAAGACATTCTGAAGAGGCTTTGGGATTCCTGTTGACGTTACTTCTGCAAACTGAATTGAAAAAATTGAGAGTAGGCTTTGCTAATTGTGCAGCATGATTGCTTGATCATGACTGAAAATCTTTTTGCTATTCTAGTAACCTAGAAAGACTTCGGAGACTTTTGAACACCTTATTCTAAAGGACTTCTAATGCTCTCTCTCTCTCCATATGTATAATATATGTATACACACATGAATACATAAAATCTATGCATGTGTATAACATTTCTTCAGTATGCCGGTTTCCAGTTTATTATTAATATCTTCCTTTTATATTACTAGTAAAACTTACATATAGACAAATATTACTTAGTTGTGATTAGGAGCTCCGTCACTCTAACCCAAGCAATACTTTTGTCTTTTTGCCATAACAACTAACAGTTAACTGATGAGGTAGTTATTATGCTGTAATCATCTGTCCACTGAGAACTCACCCAAATTCAACAAATTCAAACTGGCTTCTGAAAGGCCAACAGCATTTAATACTTGCTAACGTAAGCACAAAGTGAACCTATAGTCTAGAGATGAAATCTTCAGGCAATTTCATTCCCAAGCATTTGCAAATAAACAGATCCTGTCTTTTGCTGTCTAAAGAAGAGTAATTTTAATGTGGCCTTAAGAACCTTACATTATCTTCAGAAAAGCATCATATTTATTTGACTTATGGTATCATTAAAACGCTAAGTTCGTAATAATGAAACAATATTATATTCCTGTCATTGTAACCACCCGATGTTCCCATATTCCTCAAAACTATCTGTAAGCTTTACAGCAATTTTTGTCTTGGCTCCAGCTATACAGCTTAAAAATCTTGCTGTAAATTGATTGTGATCTCTCAGGTACAGAAATACATGATATCATACAATTGTTTTGCAATTTTTTACCATGTTATGATCATGGAAATCTTGCTCAATTATTTCAATACCTGAGACCTGTAGTTTTATCTAGTTGGCCAATTTACTCCCAAAGTAGCTCATTTAAAATCAATGGGGTTACTCCAGAGATGGATTTGGCACAATGAGCGCATCTTTCACTGACAGCACAGCTGTTGCATAGAAACGTAACTATTATCTTATGCAAATAAAAGGCCTTTCACCCCTCAGTGATGTCGAATTCTCATGATAGGCAGAACTGGTGCCTTGAAGCTATAGTATTTCAAGCTGTTACTCTGTCAACTTTTATAAGCCAAGTGGATTCAGTAATGTTTAATATTTAAATAGGAGACCACCAAGAAAAAAAAAATAAAGCATAATCAATCTACTTTAGTACTTGCATAACATTTTTCAGGTCTTGATTTTTTAACAGTAATTTAGCAAATCAGTCTGCCTAAATTCTTCAGATCTTACATCCTCAGAGTTGGTGTTAGCTGAGATCAGTGTCTTGTAGGGATTGACTTGCGACCATCAAAACACAACCAACAAGACGCTATTTATTACACACAATCTCACTGACAGAAGAATAAAATGCTAAGTTCCATTTTATTGTTCAACAATATGGCATGAGTGACTTAAAAGCTGTTCCGGTGTAACTGAAAGAAGGCCATAGCAGAAAAGAATAATAAATATATCTTATACCTAGTAAATGCAGTAAGTAGGAAGTAGAAAATGCATCAGTGGTAGATTGAAATCATCTGTAACTTTTATGTTAAATTTCTTGAACATACTGAAGGAATACAATATGGTTAGGTGGAATTCTTTTGCAGTCTTTGCATCATCACTTTGCAGTATGTACATGTGCACGTAACTATTCAGTTTATGGTTGCTAGAAATGTGCTATTTCTGATTTTGAAGATTGTTCTTTGTTTAGTTTATTGCCACGGACTGCTCTTTTTTACCCTAAGACTAAGAAATCCAAAGTATAAATCCAGTGAAGGGCATTCTGTTCTTTATGTTCTGTCTTCAGTAGTATGAATTTGGACAAGACCCAGTGAAGAAAAATTTTATAGCTTTTTTACTTCCTAGGAAGCCTTGTGTGTAGGAAGACTTACAAAGCCTTCTCTATGGAGTAAACTGAATAATTTTCTTCTGATGGTTTTCAGAAGATTTAGTGTGCCTGGGAATTAAAAAGTTAACTAATAATCAGGATTACCTCATCTTGTGCAAGGAAAACAAACTTGCTATTGCCTTTTACTGCTTGGTGTTTCTTAGAAATCATTAAGCCCCGATTTTCATTCATGCAGAGATGAACCCATAGAAATGCAAGTCTTTATTTATTAACGAAATCACTGAATCTGAGGCTTTGTAATAGCCTTTTCCAGAACAGGATCTGCACAGATCTGATGTGTTTAAGTTACCACAGACAATCTACAAACTCCTTTAGCCAGTGACACTAAACAGAATACACTATGGATCCTATCTCTCACATCCTAACGCACCATTCATATTCCCAGCCTCATTGTAAGCATCCATCCCCTAAATGCCAGAACTGAAGTGAGGGTGCCTGCTTTGCATGTTGTAATTATCTACTTCATCCTCAGTTCTTTCCTGGTAATATTTTTTCATTAGCCAGAGTCGAGCTTTCAGACACCTGTTATGCCAGTCCCTTTATTGTGCTAGCAAGGACTGAAGTGGCATAGTTAGCTCACATTTTTATTCTATCTTTAAAATTACAGTCCATGCACATTATTACTGTAATAATATAATGTAGCATTTTGTTCAGAAAGGTCTGTCATGTAAAACAAGTATTAACTCAAGCTCTATAGTACTGAATCTCTGATGGAACCCACTTACATCTGTTTCATATTAGTTTAATTTGACTTCAGTACAATTACTCCTGAATCACAGTCATGGGAGAATTACAATCTGGCCCTTAGTTTTTTTCCATGATGTCTGCAAAGAATCCTCATAAGATCAAAGTCTGATATTTAACAAAAATAGAAAGCTTGATTAATAAAAACAAGCCACCAAATTCATTTTAGAGCAGTAGCAGTACTGTTTTCTTTCCTCTTGTCATTTGTTAAAGATTTATTACTAGATAGCTACATGAAGCTTTACCTTAGCAGGTCGATAACTTTTCTCTATATTAAACAGGAAATTTGAGGGTTGGCTTTCAGAGATACCTATGTTTCTTTGTCAGTCACATCACTAGCAGAGTCGTGCGAGGACGCGCGCAGCGTGCAGAAGCGCGCCCGGCCCGCTGGTGGCTTCAGGACCCTGGACAGTTGAAGTCAGCCACGGGCAGGGGCTGCGAGGAAGCGCCGATTCCGCAGCCTCGGCACAAGCCTCCCTGCTGCATGAGCGCCTGGCCCCAGGCACTGCTTTCCCACGTTCCAGGCGAGAGTCTGGCCTGCCAAGGCGATGCAGAGCCAATGCAGTGACAATGCAGGCTTTCTAAGGCAGTGTAGCAGCAGATTGAAAGAAGAACGGTGGATAAATGAGTGGATGTGTTCAATGCATTACAGAAATACATTAAATCACATCTGCATATAAAATCATCGAAGGAGTCATCAACAATTGCACCACTAAAGAACAGCAAGGGAAACAGAAGTGTGATTTTATGTATACAATTGTTGTTCCAATATTTCTTTGTTTAATGTCTTCAGATTGAATAAATATACTTACAAAGATTTGTACTTAGAACACGTAAGGATCTTGGGCAAGACTTCAGATTATTTTCCTTACTGCAGTATAATCTGACTATTTCCTACCTAATCTGCAGGACTAGTAAACTAAGTCAACTACTTGCATATCCTGTTCTCAGATTTGCCTTCTAGCATACATGACATGCAAACTTACCAGAGAGTAGGGCAAGTTTAGGAGCCAAACACGAAGGAAGTCAATGCTAGTCTCAGAAGCAATGTCTTACCACACTTCGTAATGAAAACTTTCATCATTTCTTAGAATCAAGCATGCCAGTAAATGCAGCTGTTCCCTTCAGTGTTCTTCATTGTATCATCACGGAAGAATCCTCACAGCAGCCTATTAAATGTAGGTATTAATGCAAGTATAGAATACATGAAGCAAGGAGGAACAGTCTGCACAGACACTATTAACTGTGACCAGTCCTCCTACAGTTTTCAGTCATGTCTTTTTCTTATCTACTCTGAACAGCAAGGGAAGAAAGATGATATACTGAGCATTTAAAGAGCTGACTACAACACCTGCAGTAATCATCATCCTTTTGACATTACTCAGTAGAGCTTTACAACTTCCTAAATTAGGTAACTTAGTTACCACTCATGTAGTAAGAAGCTGTTACAAAAATGTGAAGGTGATGGTATTTATCATGGTGCTGTGGAACAGGGAATGAAATAAAGCTTCAGTTTCAGTTGCACTACTAGATCTTTCCTCTAGCTTCTCCCAACTTCGTAGCTGAGTGCAGACACCTTTCAGCCAACCACACAGATGCAGAACTCTCACTGTCAGTACTTCAGCCACTGTTCGAAAGGTAACACTCTGAATTGCATAGGTCTTTATATCTGCACACAACCAGCCACATCAGCACTGGACCTCTTTGAGAAAAAGACCTTGAAATAGTATGGTATTTCAAGCAAAACCAAATCAGTACATTAATATTCTGATTTAAGAAGAGCAGGGGCTATGTTCTGAGTGTAAATTAAAAATTACTAATAGTTATTACAGGAGCAGTGCCAGGCATTATAATGATGAGCAGAAAAATGTCTCATGATGGAAAATCTTAATATAGCAAGGAAAAAAGAGCTATTCCCACATTTCTGAAGATACAGTAGATGAATCCCAGTTTGAATATATACACAAATCATACACATGCACATATATATAGCCATATAAGAAGTAGAAATACAAACCCATAAGTAGAATCTTCTGGACTTGGGGAAAAAAAAAAAAAGGAAATAATGAAATGACTGGATTCATCCCAGTATATAACATCATCTTCCACAACAACTACCCTGATTATCATACTCTCCATTTCATTAACTGTTCTGCACTATATTGTTAGATAAGATATAGTGGGATTACAAGTTTAGATGTAACATGGCAAGAGACTGCAGTGTTATTCACACGTGGCATACTTTCACCCAAGTGAGAAGCTCAGTGTTAATCAATCCATAGGCAGTGGCTTCGCACAGTTAGCAGATCTGCTACAGCCTACAGACCAGCAGGTAACATGCATTTCATTTTGCTACCCATGAAAAGAAGTGTCACCCTACATAATTATAGTAAGCTTCTGGACTATATGTAGTCTGGGAATATAAATGTAAATATAAGGTTATGTGAATTGGGAATTGTACTGTGATAACAAGTCTTCATGCTGAAGAATAGAAAAAATAATGTGCATAAGCTTCCTAAGCTAACAATTGCAGGTTCTCTACAAGCTGCCTCCTTTGTATATTTACATTCTGAGTGCAGATATTATTTAAGTATTTTACAGAGCATTTCAGGAATGCCTCCCTGCTGCTCTAAAACAGCTGCAGTTACCGTTGTATGTAACATGTAAAATCTTGGGATCTTCTGTTTAAAATGAACAACAAAAAACATTTTTACATCTTCATGCTGTATTTTTATATGAAGATCCCATTTAGTAATCTTCCTTACTATACAAACAAGACATGGATAATCTCTAGCCCAGAAATTTAATACATTTAAAAGATAGATCAAAATTACTTGTACTACAAAACACATGTACAAATCAGATATTTCCTTTTACTTTCCACTTTTTTTTTTTTAATTTCACAAGGCTAACTATTAAGGCACTAAGGCACTCCTCAGCCCTCATTTAGAACACTTCTTTGAAATTCTAGAGAGTATTGGGGATTGGTGACTGTTTCAGTATTGCATTGTCAACCAATGTGTTCAAAAGTGCCAAGTGCTTTTCCATCCACAGATGAAGAAACCTTGAGGAAAAAAAAAACAAAAAAACAGTTTGCAGACAGTGCTAGGTATTCACTCCAGGAAAAAAAAAAATGCCCCTTTAAATTATTTCCAGTTGACCAGCAAAGAACTCAGGAATATGAAGCAATCATTCCTGCCCAGGTTCCAAAAGTTTTTTAGGCAACCAACACCAAATGAATCAACAGCAGTTAGGCACCTAAATATCTTGCATATCTTCTTTTTAACATATAACATCAAATCCCTCAGTACCCTAACCATGGTAATAGAATAAAGGAAGTAAAGAATTTAGCACCAAGATAAGTTGCAAGCATTTTGAGTAAAGGAAGACGATGGAACAAATGAAGGTTCTGTCATCATCATAACTAATTATCTACACAAACAGTGGTAATAATTTACTCAATTGAAGAGTTCAGAAGTAATGTAGAAGTGTACATTTATGGCACAAGTTTTCTGCATACCAAGTGAGAAATCAGTGCAGCTACAGTTATATAAATCTTGACAGAAATTTGATGCTAACATTAGATGCTGCTAAATATATAAACAGGCATGGAAGTTTGCCATTACATGTCCTTGTTAGATAGATCAATACCTTTCCTTTGTCAATGCTTGTACTTGATATTTCAAGGAGAAACATAATACAGCTTATTCTATTCTTTTGCATCTTCCAGCTGAGCATCTCTAGCAAAAAAGGATCATGAAAATCTTCTTACAGATGAGATTACTGGCGTACAGAATGGTCTAGCATCTCATTTACTTTCATGAAGATCTTGAATAGAGTGAAAAATGGAAATGAGATTTTTCAAAGCCAAACACTTAGCCAGGAAAAATCATAATAATTTTACGATGTAAGAACCCAGACTGATAAACTGAAAAATACTGTTAAAAAAAAAAAAACAGTGCAAGAATCAAAACATACACACATCAGCTACTATCATTCTACTTGGTAAAAATATACCTCTACTAGCAGTTCATTCCATATAAAATATTCTATGCATAAAACCATCCTCCTTCTTAATTATCACAAATATCAATGAATTATGCACATTGGCTTCTTGGGTTATAAATCAGCAGTTCATATTAGTTTCTGGCAATATAACATCATCCTTTAATTATAATTAATAGTTCATTCTTGATTTTGTAACAATCAAAAAAGAACATATTATGAAGGCTCTTCAACTTTTCATTTTATTTAATCACAGAAATCCATACCTGTTAATGTATTGCAGTATGTCAACTTCATTTTTCTTACTCCAGTAAATCCCTGTCTTGAAAACCAGTGGCCAAAACTGAAATACAGTCATTAATAGTCTATTGCAACTTTTACTTATTTACAATTTTTTTGCATAATTTTTTTTCAGGCTTTTTCACATACTAACACATTTATTTCTCTCGTAACTGGGTAAAGATATATTCTAGGTAAACCACAGAAAATCCAGGATCCTTCTGTCTTCTCAGTTCTTATATGAAACTCACTGAAGCAAAGAAATTAATACTAACATAACTAGTGACAAATTCAAAAACAAAAGAGATTGTATTTAGTATTTGACTCTTGAACATGCCTTTTCTGCTTCAGAGGTGTGACACCATTAAGACAGGTGTTAGTTTAGATCTGTTTTACTCTTAGGAAAAAACAAACTTGCTTAAATATCTATCCTTTTTTTTTTGTTACAACAAATGTTTATAAAACAGTAAGATTTGAAATACAACAAGTAGATGGATTGTGTGTGAAAATTCTCTTGGACACGGCTGTTTTTTTATGAAATTTTACAAAATGAATATATTTAAGGTTTAGCTTGAGGAATTGTGTCACTAAAACAAAGATCTATTTTTGGCCTACTTTATTTTCTACAATCATATTAATTATTCATTAATCAGGGGTTAGTAATAGAAAGCAGCTAAAGTGCTTTTATTTGCAGCTGTTTCTGATTCTCCTGCTACATGGTAGTAGGAGGAAATCCAGCTGTTGCAAACATCAGATACACAAGAGTCTGCTAGCCTATGGCATCTTCAGAGAAGGAGAGGCTGCCATGGGAACTGACTTTTAAGACAATAAACTAATATAGCTATATGTTTTCACTATTTTGGAGAAGCAAGTTGTCAGCTCAGTATTGCTGCCACAGCCACAACAACACAGAATCATAGAAAACACAAATTCTTTACCAGTAATGTAATCCACAAAACTTACTGAAATCCAAAAGAAATGGTCAGTGAAATCTTTAAATTAAAAATACATCAATTTTCAGCAAACAAAATGCAATCACTTTTTCTTACACAGAAAAGAGAAGGAGAATTGATAGGTCTACCCTCACCCCAATTTCTGGCTTCTTAAAATCAAAGATTTTTGCTGTCATCCCAAAATTACTGAAAGAACCATTTCTTCCTCAGACAATTCCAGAGCAACAAGGAAAATGTACCTTCACACCTGCCAATCAAAAGACAATCTGACACAGTTTGTATTCACCTCCATTTTATTCTCAGGAAGAACTCTGCTTTAAACGTGACCTATTACTTCTCAAGTATGTAATTCCACCTAAAAAAACTGCTAATGTTATTAGGTCAAGGAACAACTGAGGCTACTTAAAACTTGCATTATTCTTTAAAAAAAAAAAAAAATCAAATAACTTGAATCTCAAACTGCTTTCTCTTCAGATCTAAATCTCTGGATTTAGAGAAATGATTAACAAACACCACTAAGAGTCAGATAACTACACCTCCAGTAAAGTGAAAATTCCCTCCTCACAACTTCTGCTGGATTGAAAAGCATCTGCAAGTATTTTTTAACTGGATCCCTTATTGTTCAGACAGAAAGAGCTTAGCCCACAGTGAGGTCACTCCAGAAACTTCTGAGAAAAGTACAGGAATAAAAGAGAATTGCATGGGGCCAAGGAACACAGCTAGCCACAACTAAGTTACCAATCTCAAGATGAAATAAAAATTATTTAGAATTGAGATTAGCACTGGTACAACACTGGCATACACCCCCCTACGGAATAAAATGGGAGCAAACTTTTAAATAAAAGCATAAAATTTTTAAGACAGAGCCTGAGCAGTTTATTAAACATTAATACAATGTTGTTGCCTGTTATTAAAGAAACCATCATAGCACGTAAGACTTATCCCTATCCTGGTTATATTTTCCTTTATTTCTATATTCTACAACTGGTTTGATTACTCAGAATAATTTCAATTCCTTCTATATTCCATTACGTTATCGATCAACAGCCAGTGCTATTCACATTTAATATTGAAAGTCAGCCTTACCCTGCTGCTTTCTGTGACAGAAGATTAAAAATAAATATTGCGTTCAGTACTCACCTGTATCTTGTAATCTGCAGTTTTGATATTTATTATTCAAACAATAGAATGTCATTTGTGTTCCTACTGATAAGAAGTACAGTGCAGAAATCTCATTCCAACGTGAAGACAAGTGAGCTAACTAAGTATCGCCATTTTACTACAAGCTATGAATCATATTAAGGTGATTTAGACAGCAGCCTAGTCAGGTACCTGACTCGGGGTGTACACAAGGTCACACAAGTCACCGACAGACTGTAAACAAACTGTGAGCATCCTGACTCCTGGGTCTGTGAAACATCCATCAAACTGATCTCTTATTTTCTTTCCTGATGCATATAACATGTTTATGGGGGAAGAAGGTGCTATTATACCAAGTTCTAAAACATTAAAATTCAGGTTCTGTCTCAATCAGAATGTGGACTTTCCTGAAGTCTTATGATATCAGTATCAATGCACAAGTTCAATAAGTAATGCGTAAGTTCAATAAGTTTTTTTTCCTTGGAATATAACTTTAAACTGAAGGAAAGCTTTAGACAATGTAACAGAAAGTACTTACTGTCCTTCTTCCTAAAATGTCCTTATTTTGTTCTTTTTTTCCCCCCTACTATTAATAAAATGATTCCACAGAAAAAAATACTCTTACAAAATTTATTGCAAGAGTTACACTTCATACCCTCCAATTTGATTATTGTTGTTCTCTTGCCCACTGCTTTCTTTCACACATAGTTACAAGTAGTTAAAGTGACAGAAATCGCTATTACTTATGCAACACAGCATGCAAGAGATTTTCTCAGTCTGTCATCTTCATCTTCCAGTAAGCGTAAACAAAGAGGCAATGCCATTACAGTACCTTCTAAATCCAAAATAAATCCCCAAACTATTCCAGTTGGGAATTTCTATTTCTAGATAAATTGTATGTCACGAACCATGCAGATAGATATGAAACTGCAGTGGAAAACTAGAGTATATTTGTTTTTTTGTCTTGCAAGCAATTTTAAAGCCACCCTTGAGGATTTCTCCTCTTGACCTTGTCATATCCAAAGGAACTCTCTTGAGCACACAGGATCCCATTTGTTCAAGGATGTGCATGGATTCACATAATACTAAACAAGTATGAGCACTCTGTAATGGCTGTGTACAAGTTAGATGGGCCACACAAATGCTGCATTGACATTCTTCTGTCTGCCTGCTGTAGGCTGGGTAGATACAGGCAATCCATCTTGGTCTATTCACTGATCTTAATAGAGCTGTGTCATTTATATTTTTCTAATTTGAGTCGCAATTTTCTGTTATTGAGTGAAATATTGAAAATACATTTTCATCCTTTTCCTCTTAGTTTCTGTGAGTATGTATCTGCTTGTGACACAACAGAAAATATTAGAAAATAAAACATACCTTATGCTCTGGGCAACCAGTTATGACATTTATGTAGTTTTTTTTTCCCCCTCTTAAAATTCCAATTACATCTTTAGTTATTGCAGTGTATTCTCAATACCTAATCATTCAAATAAAATAATGAGAAAAGAACAGTTCTCAGCAGTCAGCACTGAAAAAGAGCTATTTTTCATTTACAGTCTTCTTGTCTGTAAACTTTCATGGGAGCAGTAGATAAATGGAAAATGACATAGTGTAAGAATAAATACAAGTAGATCTTGAGTCACCCCAGCTACTGGGTTTTACATTACAGCCCAAAATATCATGTACAATTTATATGCTTTTTCCCTGTTACATTTAAAAAATATTTTTGTACCACAGGGCAGATGCATGATATGACTGTATAAAACTGAAGAGAAAGAATAGATGTACAGAGTACATCTGCACAGCAGCTTCCTGAGGGAGTTTTGGTAGTACTTATTCATACTGCAGGGGAGACCTTTTCTTCTAAAAGCAACAAAAAGTATGGCAACTTAACACTGCGCCATTATATATTGCTATAGTTCAACCATCTTCCTTATCACATTCTCTCTTATTGCATTTTAAATTACAGCACATTAAAAACTTCAAGTATTAAGACATGGATCATCTCCTCTTAACTGTTTCTGCATCACCATTCCCAGTGGGACCCTAGCATTTACAAAAATATCTGACTACTGTTGCCATACAACTGTAACAAAACAACTAAACACACTGCCATGAAGAAAGGTAGAGAGTCTCCAGCCCTATCAGAATACATAACTCTCTTATCATTTTGAAAGTAACAATGACTACATGACTTTAAACAACTCTGTATAATCAGTGGGTATCAAGATGTTATAATCACAAAAAGAACAAGAGAGTTAGGCAAAGCAGACTAAGGTAACAGGAAAGACTAAACGGAAGGCTTACCCATATTCTAGGCTCACCTACAAAAAAAACCAGAAGAGGGGATCTCCAGACAAGATCCTTCCCCGCTGGTAGCCAGCTCTTAAATAGGTCCAGGAGGGGTGCAGCCTGGCTCCACCCCTTCTGGCGGCACAGCTGAATTGCCTTCACCTGTGCTCCTCTGGCTGACTCATGGCTCACCTCAGGTGATCAATCAGAGGTTCAGGCCGTGACTCAGCAGTTCCCATACAAACTCTAAGGACCAAATGATCAAACAACCATGTAGCACAGAGGCAGACCAAAAATTTCTCCTAGAAAAGTGTGCTTAAAAAAACACCCTAGAATTTACTTCAGTCTTTGCCCTTGCACCAGCTCTTTGAGTACTACTCCTTTTGCCTGACACAATAATTTCCCAGGTAAGAACAAAAAGTCTGCTCAGGCAGTCTGTTTAAATGTGTTCAGAAAGCACTGCCTCCTCTGATGTTTCAGGGAAACATTTTTCTTTCTAGACCACTGCAGAAGAATGAATGCAATGAATCTGAAAGTGCAGGCTGGGGATTTCTGCAAGGCAGCAGCTGCCTGCTGTGAGCAGCAGCCAGCCAGTGTTGGGAAGGTGCTCATGCTGAGGCACAGGCAGATGACAAAGCCCCACTGTAACAGGGCACTAACGCCAAAATGGAGAGAGCAAGAATCTCAAGAAAAACTAAAAAGCTTATTTCCATCTCAAAGTACACAGTGTGATGAATTTAGGGCTTTTCTGTATGAGCACAGTGTGCAGATTTGGTTTTGGGGATGTCTTCTGCCTGCATATGTAGGCTTACTTAGACAGTTGTAAGGAAAACAGAGCATGAAGGAAAATCAATGGCTTAAAACAAGCAAAGACTCCCTAAAAAAAAAAAAAAAAAAAAAAAAAAGCAGACTTCAGTTCTTCAGGGTGCACACAAACCATGTTTTCCAAGCCAGCTAAATCCCAGAAATGTAGAATTCTGACATTACAAATTGATCTCTGTCCCAAATGAAATGTGATCTGTTGGAGGCACTGCCTGCCTGACAGGCAGTCTTTTTCAGAGGAAACCAGGCTGATCTGTGCTAAAAAAAAACCCTAAGCTTTTTATGGACTGTTTCCTTTTTCTGATGCCCTTTTCTCTAACAAATTTGTTTCTTCCACAAAAATAAACACTACACAGGTCTTGAGAATGCTGTTTTGTTGCAAAATACTATTAACCATAAATATGCCAAACAATAGGCTTCTACATCAGGTCACAAAATCATAGAAATATTGAGGTTGGAAAAGACCACAAAGATCATCTAATCCCATGACCAACCTACTGACATCATGCCACTCAGCCATGTCCCTCAGTGCCACACCTACCCATTTCTTGAACATCTCCAGGGAGGATGCTCTACTACCTCCCTGGGCAGCTTATGCCAATGTTTTACCACCATTTCTGAGAATAATTTTTTTCCTGCTATTACAGGAAACCTGAATGTCCCCTGGCACAGCTTTAGGCCATTCCCTCTCATCCTTCAACTTTTATCTGGGAGAAAAGGCCAACCTTCACCTTGCTACAACCTCCTTTCAGGAGGTTGTAGAGCGCAGTAAGATCTACCTAGATGATAAAATGAGGAAATGTAATTTGCAAGTCTTACCTTCTCAAATAAGAACAGGTGATCTTCTAGACTTTCCACTGTGACTCTTCCTGCTGCTTCCATCCTCCCAGTGCAGTCAAACTTTAATACCACACTGTGCTCTAAAATTTCATGGAAAATGGGAAAATACCCTCCTGAGAAAGACAGCCAACAACATTAGTGCTGTGTTTCTTCTTTTCAGTTTGGAAGAGGACAAAATTTACAATTTTCAATATGCTATTTCTTTGACAACAATTTGTTCTCTGCAGCAATTCATTTCATTTATTTTTGAACTTACTATGATGGATCAAAAATCCATGACTGATTAAATTTCTTTTAAGACTTATTTTTATTTAATATGTGTTGCAGGACTTAATGTGTGAGTACGTTGCAATATATCAGGATTAGCTTTTAATTACATGAAGTACATAAACACTTAGAGATCCAATAGAGCCAAAGGGCAAAAGATTGCAAGTCAGACCAGTTACAGACACAGAGCTCTGGTATATGTTGCTATTGGAGGTAAAAAACTTCAGAGCTGGGGTATTTCTAGGATGCTTCTGATTGAGGGGGAACTAGTGGAAATTGCTACGTTCCCTCAGTGTTGCCTAGAAACCAGGGGAACAGTCATGATATGTTTCTAAAAACACTCACATTTGGGAGTTGTAATTATCTATATGGTGGAAAAAACATATGAACAATGGGAAGGCACTATGAGAAATACATCATTAGGGTCAGAAAGAACAGCCTAGTTACTATGCGTTGGGAATGATACACTGAGAATTCAAGAATGTGAAATTCCGAATTCAAACAATGAAACAAAAAGTATTCTAAAAGTATAAAGATACTGCTGTGTGCAGCTCATTTGAAAACAACAGAAACAAAACAAACAAAAGTGAGAGACATTTTCAGTAGCATGATTTCTGAAGCCAATACACAGCATTACAACTAGAGCCCAGGACACCACAGCAGTAAGATCTCAAGCGCTTAACCTCCTCTGCAGTATCACCAAGTATCTGAAACCGACACTACTTTAAGACAATCACTACCTCCACAATCTACTGATTTAATTATATGAATTATTACAAAGAAGTCTAAGCACTGATACACAGCAACTAAGGCAACTGGTTTCCTGAAGCCCTATCTCCTAACTTCCAATTTTACATGCAGTCAAAAATCCTTTTGGGGGAAGGGGAAAGAGAAAGAGCATTTGGATTCAGGGCTTTCTGGATTTCTATTCATGGGGGAGTCAACTTACTCTTCTGGGCAGCCTGGTCTAGTGGTTGGCGACCCTGCACATTACAGGGGGATTGAAATTAGATGATTATTGTGGTCCTTTTCAACCCAGGACATTCTATGATTCTATGATTATAATGATATCATTGCCTTCACACCAAAAGAGATATAAGAGAAAGAAAAAATGCTATTAAATTATTTGTTATAGAAAAAAAAAAAAGCTATTTTGTTACCTAATGGTTGGTAGAAGTTGACATACCATGAGAACAGACACTTTATAAAAAAAACAGTCAGGAAGATGAGTTGGAATGAGGATCAAAAGAAGCTTGTATTTCCTTTCCTGACCCCTTTCAGACAAACTTAAAAACAATTATCATTACAGATGATTTTACAGAAAGCAGTATTAGACTGTCGAAATAATCACTATAATGTGGAGCACAAGAATTAAGGCTGCATGCAAAGAGTACTTCACACAAAATAAATGGGAATATAAAAAAAATCATTAAAGATCTACTAAAGCAGCTTTGAAGGGAAACCACAGGCTGACCAGCAGGAGCTAGGGGTTAACAAGAAACTTCAGCTATGCATCCAACATTCAATAGTTGACTACTGAAAAGTTTTCTGAAATTTTTGGTAAGCACTACTGTCACACAGAATGTGCAGCAGTACTTCAGGTTTCATCCACACGACTATGTCTGCTTCTGTGACTTCCTGGGAATCTGGAATGAGGATGAAGGGTCTTGTTCATCGCTGGCAAAAATGCATAGCTAAGGATGCTGACTGCATTGAAAAACAGCGTTTTGTAGCTGAGAATTCGCTCTATAAACGTTATTGTGTTCTTTGTATCATCTGCCGCAGTTTCCATGGAGATAAATAGGAGACATTACTTCTGGAGTGACCATGTAAAATCAAACCTATCACTTCTTCAGAAAGTTGACTACAAACAAAACCAGTGTTAATACATACATCAGTGATGTGATCAAACATTGGTTTTCAATATTTGCTGTTGTGGTTCATTTCTGAAGAACTGCTCTTTTGAAAGAGTGAATTTCTTCATTGTAACACGCCGGGAACACTCCAGCTTCCCTACTTGCCATTCTCTCCTACAAAACATGAGTAATTTTGCTTAAAACACTCACTTGGCACCAATTATTTTTTTACTTTCAGTCATGTTGCAAGCAGGTTTAAACAATTACTGCGGATTACAGGCGGGGGAGAAGCCATCCCCAAGGCCGCGGCCTAGCCCGGCCCTGCCCGCTCGGCACGACGCTCCCGACACCATGGCAACAGCGGAGGCCCCCGGGCCAGGACACGTCGCGCCGTGCCAGACTCAGCGCCACGCCCCACCCGGCCGCTGCGGAGGCAGAGCTGTTGCCGCTTTGAGCCGAAAGCTAGGCTCACCGGAGAGCATGGGGGTGAAGATGGAGAGCGGCGGCGGCAGGCGGAGCCAAGGTGCGGGGCCGGGGGGCTGCGGGCGGGGCCTGCCGGCGTTGGGGCGCGCGGGCGCGCTGCCGCCCTGCCTTTCCCGGTCTTCCCGGCTGTGGGGTGCTGGGGCGAGGTCCTCTCCAGAAAGGGGCCGGGCAGATCTGCTTGCGTGTTAGGGTGTCAACCCACGGCTTGCCCTGCTGTGCGGGGCGCGAATTGCCGTGGCCGAGGCGGCCCGTGTGGAGCCTGGGCCGTTCAGAGCCATTCGGGCGTTTGCCCGCGGGGAGCACGGCTCCGCAGCGGCCTCCCCGCGGGCGAGGGGCGAAAGGTTCGACCTAGTAACGTGGCCGCTAAAGCGTCCGCCTCACGGGCAGTATCGCTGCGTTGCTCCTGCCTTTCATTGGCGCTCGGCGCTGCTGTGTCAGTGCGGTGTGGGATGGGCAGAGAGAGCCGCCTCGTTGTCAGTCTGAATTTCTTCGCCCTTTGGGAGCCACGTTTCTTCTTTTCCAAAGCTGGTACGGCTCTGAACTGTCGTTTATAGTGGTGTTGGGTTTTTGTTGTTGTTTGTTTTGTTAGCAGAATTGCATTTAGATGGCTGTTGGGTGCAGGTCCAAGTTTTTTGGGGAGTAGTGGGTGTTAGTGAAAGTGTGGCTGAGAAGTAAAGGATTTAAATAAAAGCTCTGACAAGGATGGGAGGTCAGGTGGATGCTGCCAGGCACGTGACCGTGGTGCCCAGCAAGTGGAACTGTAGGGAGCCTGCTTTGGAAGAGGCTTG